AGGATGATCTCCTAGCAGTCCATGGCCTATTTAATAGTTGCCTTAAAAAAAAAAAAAATAAAAATAAAAAAAAAAAAAATATATATATATATCTCAACTAATACCCTTTTACATAATATAATATTAAGGGCTTCTGATCTTGTATCAGAAATGACCTTTACAGTAAATAGGAGAGAAATCTTTAACTGTTAAAACTATAACTGAATTACTGCTAAGTTTGTTCTGAATTACAGATTTTTCCTATTTTTGTTTTGTTTTCACCTTTATGTGATATACTGACTCAAAGTATTTTCCCCTGAGATAGTTCAGATCAAGGTGGTCCGCATTCAGCTAATGTATAAATTTGCATAATTTATAAATATGTTGTTGTTGTTAGGTGACATCAAGTCAAATACAACTCATGGCAACCTTATGAACAAAAGATCTGAAACCAGACTGTCCTGCTACATCTGCACACTTTCTGACACACAAAAGCCCATTGCAATGTTCACCTTGTCAATCCACCTGGTTGAGGGGCTTCCTCTCCTTCACCAACCAACATCATGTCTGTCTCCAAGGAATAGCCCCTCCTGGAAACATGTCCAAAATTTGTGAGGTGAAGCCTCATCATTCTTGCCTCCAAAGAGCTCTCTGGCTGCACCCTCTCCAAGATATAACTGTTTGTTCTCTTGGTCATTCATGGGATATTCAGTGCTCCTCTCCAACCCACCACAGCTCAAAGGTGTCAATTCCTTTTCTGTCATCCTTACTAATTTTCCAGCTTTCAGATGCACTGCTAGTAATCTGAAAGACTATGGCCTTAGTCTTCAAACTAACTTCATTACTCTTCAATAATTTGTAAAAGTCCCTAACTGCAAATTTTCCCAGTGAAATGTGTCTCCTTATTTCCTGACTGCTGATACCAAAGATGTGAATTGTGGATTCAAGCAAGATAAAGCTGTTGACAATTTCAAGCTCCTTCCCATCCATCATGACATGGCCTATTTGTCCTGTGGTAAGAATCTTTGTTTTCTTGATACTGAGATGCAATCCATACTGAAGGCTGCAATTCCTTGATCTTCTGAAACAAGTGCTTCAAATCCTCCTCACTTTCAGTAAGCAAGGTTGTGCCATCTGCATAATGCCGCCGTTATATATTGTCACTATGTCATAATCATTTGATTAATCTTTAAATTTTAGGCAGCCATCAGTGCCTACTAAATTTCTTCCAACTTGAGTGACTTCTAAGACAAGCAGTTGCACAGTACCAACTGCATCTTTCTGCCTAATCATTCTGTTTGCTAAAGCAAATAAAAATATTTAAGAAAAAAAAACTGAATAAAATACTGATGTTGTTCTAATTTATTTTAAATTAGTCCTGTTTACAAGTCCAAAAAGTAGAGAAAAATCTGTGACAAAATAATAAACCCAGGGTTTTTAATGTGACCAAGCATAGAGAAAAAGTATAAACTCAAAAGCTTTTAACTAATTATATTACTATTTTAATTGCTTGGTTTTTCTATTTTAAATTTATTCCCCAAACAGCCTGCAATATGTAAAACAGAAAACAAGAACTTGTAAAGAAAGCATTCTGCTTAGAAAAATAAGTGTCACTGTCATTATAACCAATTTTTTCCTGTTTTGTTACATGTTAACTTTCTCTAGACAGAAGAATAACAAGTTTATTTGTGAAGTATGTGTGACTAAGTGAATACGGAATGTGAACCACCAGATTTCAAGAACTAAGAGTATTTTTTTAATGAATCTAGTTAATATTTAGGGAATTCTGGCAACTTAATGGTAAAGAACTGGGTGGCCACCAGAAAGATCCTCATTTCAAACCACCAGATGATCTATAGGAGAAACATGGGCAATATTCTCTCAATTTGATTCACTGCCTCTGAAAACCCACTGGATGGTCAGCTATGGATCAGTTCTAATGCAAAAGTACATAACAACAAGTTAGTACTTATCACATAAAGTAGCATCAAGATAATTAAGCTATCATTGTAGTCTCATTATAGTACACACATAATTAAAGTACATTTTTTACAATACTATGATGAATCTTGTCTTTTAGAGAACAGAATTAAGAATAATGATGTTTTGGCAAGCTCTGGTGGCCTAGTGGCAAGAAGCTGCACTGCAATCCCACAGGTGTGCAGTTCAAATTCACCAGATGCTATGCCGGAGAAGGAGGAACAATCTCCTCCTGTACCAGTCAAATCTGATTTGACGGTACTCACACACATAAATAATAAAAATTTTAAAAAAAAATAAATAAAAAAAGAATAATGATGTTTTAAGAGAACAAAGCAGGAAACTAATCAGAAAATTGGATTTTACTCGATATGCACACCTCTTAGTCTATGTCACAAAGCTTGCACTTGAATCTAAAAAGATGTCAGCTATTTTAATTACAAAGACACAATAAGATTACGTATGAGTTAGGTTTCATGAAAGACAGTGTTCAGTTTTAAAATAAATCATCTGTTTTGTAGTAGCATATTCAATTGAGCATTTGGAAGTAGATTTTGTTTTGTTTTCACGTTCTTGACACTTCCACCTAGCACTGGGAAAGGGTGTTTTTAAGCTCTCCCACCTAGGACTGGGTAAGCATGTTCTTAAGATAACATCGCAATGCCTAAGGTGGAGGAACTCGTGCTTCAGAATGATCCTAGTAAAGCAGAAAGTATACCACCACACCAGAGCACAGCCAAGAAACAAGGGGAACCAAGTGCCTAAAACATCAGGGCAGAGCCAGGAAAACAAGATTAGCAGCCCAGACAAGCAGTGTACTGATAGCCAAACGGATGGCTTTTCCGTCACAAATCTTTTTTTATTTTATTTTATTTCATTATTTTGTGTGTGTACCGTCAAATCAGATCTGACTGATACAGGAAGAGATTGTTCTTCCTTCTCCAGCAGATCATCTGGTGGATTCGAACCGTGTACCTCTGAGATTGCAGTGCAGCTTCTTGCCACTAGGCCAGCAGAGCTTGCCCACAAATCTTATAGTAATGGTTAATGAATTTTCCAAGCTGATTATTGTTTATGAAATTGCTTATAGTAAACAAAAATTTTATGTGGAAGAGGTAGTTTTACTTCCCAACAGTCTAGAAAGCAAGTTTATGGAGACCATGTGTAATGATTTTTGACACAATCTAAAAGAACAGCTATCTCCTGAATTCACTTGTACTTGTTCTTGCAATTTAAAAAAAAAAGTCCATGGGGAAAAAAATGTGAACGAAGAATAATGTGAAATACAATGTATATGAACTTTGTAAGCATACCAATAAAAAACAGAAGAGGAAGAAAAAAGGAGGTCTTGTCATTGCTGTTACCACACCAGAGTTGCATGAAAAATGAGATTGAAAGGCTCTGGCCATGGTTGTCCTTAAGCAAGAAGCACAGCATGCGGCCCTGGGTATTATCTAACTACATACTTCATTTGATGATACATTAGAGATGAAGCGTGTTTACTGAGGGGTAGCTTTTACGTTCTAAATCTGATGAAAATGGACATGGTGAACTGTCTGAAACCTTTAACCCTTCCTGCAGGAACATTCCATCCAGAATAAACAAGCTAAATTCCAGGAACTCCTTGAAAAATGACCCAGTATGTTTTAAAACTTGAGAGCACCAGAAAGGATTTGTCCTTAGGTTTGCTTTCTTACAATGTTAGAAAGTATTTTTTTTTTTATAATAGAAAGTTTCTTCTTTGTGAAAGGGAAAGGCAGAAGGACCATTTGTCTATGACTTAAAAGGACAACAAAAATATTTCTTTTATCAACAAAGAATGTATCTTAAATAAAGCCTTAATCATAAATAAAAAGAAATACACAAAAAATTATAAGATAGGCAGGCAAATGTAAAAGGATTATCATGGAATGTCAAATCAATCATAAACCAACAAGTGTAAGAACCTTGCAACAAAAGCATTAGGCTGAACTTAAAAAAAAATGGTGTACTCTGTGAGAACATTTAGGCAATTATGCTTGGTTACTTAGTTCACCAATTACGTTCATAAATTTAATTGATCCATCTCTCAGATTGTTGTTAGGTGCCATGAAGCAGAATCTGACTCATATTAAATGATACTTTACTTCAAGAAAAACAAACTTAAACTTTCCTTCTTGACATTTTCTGGTTATAGAAATGACACAACACATTAGAAAAGTACAAAAATAAAAATAAAATTCACCCCTAATCCCATCACTCGGAAAAGTATTGTAACTGTCTCTTAGGATATGTACTTCTGAAGCTAATTTTTCATCTATTTCATCTTCGTAATATTAAATATTATTTCAAAGTGTTTTAATAACTCTGTATTATCCCACTGAACTCATTCCTTCAACCACAAAGAGAAAAGAGAAAGCATAATTTTGGCAGAAGATTTAAAAAGACAGAACTCTATCCAACTTTAGTGTTTCATGAGATGTTAAATGACAGCTTGGCATTTACTTCTTCATAACACAACAGGTAAAATAAAATTACATTTATACATCTTTAGCATTTAGGAGAAAGGGTAAATGACCTGAATATGAGACAAAAATGAACAATGACAATTTAATAATTTATCTGGGGAAAGAATAAAGTTGCAAATTTCCGCAATCTATCCTTAGTCTAAATATTGGAGTTAGTCTAAATATTGTTATGTACCATCAACTTGGAACTGAGTCATAGCTGACTGACCCTCCAGAGGGGTCTTGAGGTAGTAAATGGCAAGGGAGGAGACTGCTCATCTTTCTCCTTAGGAGCAGCTAGTGGATTCCAACTTGCTTGCCTTTGGGTTGGTGACACAACTCCTTACCACCAAGCCACCAGGGCTCCCAGATAGGAGAATAATTATTTCTTATTATCCTTCATTGTTTAGTATAAATTATTCCAATGCTATGAAGATCAAGGACATGGTACTTTCTACACCTTTATATATTTCAAATCCTTTAACAAGTCAGACCGTTTCAAAATATTCATTCCACAGACAGAATAAACTATGTATATATCTTTACTACACTTACAGTTCCTTGTGCTTATCCTCTGCCAAGATCTGGTCATTTGGTTTCAGTGAATACCTATAAAGCAAAAATAAAGATACTGATCATATAAACTTGCAAGTGTATTTGCCTCATGGACAATTGATTGTGATACAGTAAAGTCAGCTAACCTCATCAAAAAAGGTACTACTATACTATTACAGGTTTCTGTCTTAATTGGTAAAGAACATCCAAGCAAACTGTATCTTAATGCTGTGTATTACTTACCACTCAAGGGACAGACCCTAAATGGATGGACTGACACAATGATTATCACAATGGCTTAAGAATGACAGAAATCATGAGGATGGTGCAGCACAGGACAAGGGTCAGATCTGTTGATGAGTTGTATTAGACTAGGTGGCACCTACCAACACAACAACAACAAGGGACAGAAGAAAGATCAACTGGACCAACAACTGACAATACAGGATGTCTTTAATAGCCTTCTGTATAGAGGCTGTGAAAGGAGCATATGCAGCAAACAACCAAGTCCGACCTCTAATAACTTCACAAAGGGCAACTATCCCCATCAACAACACCTAAAGTAGCAAAACAATAACTACAAGTCAGACATAGCCACCCCACTCTGCTGCAACTACTACTAATTACTGCATCTGAACTTCATTGCCAATGACTCACCGATGTTATCTGACTCACAGTTATGGAGTATATTAAAGAAATAGTTTGAGGATGAGGACAGGCAAAGAATATCAAACAGTGAAAGTCCAGGTTTAGACCAGACAGAGTAACAAGAAGAAGACACAATTCCTCAGTTAGTTCAGACAGCTCCTTAATCCAGGTTTTGTCCAGCACACAAATGCAAGAAGACCTGATTTCCTATATCATCTGTCAAGCTTTGTCTCACAGCAGCCACAAGTCAGTTTTTCCTTCAACTGTCCAGCAAGCAGATCCTTTAAAACTAGCTGTCTCCAGGATGCCATCAAGCTACCCGCTTGCCAGACTCTCTCTACTGTTTGGTCAACCCTCCATCTTAGCTGGTCCCACAGCTGTTGAAGATATAGAAACACTATTCAACAGGTGAACCATGTCTCTGCAGTTGAGGAAACTGAAGACCATGCCCTCAGAGGTGGCTAACGCAATAGATCTACAAGGCGTTTTCAAAAGTCCTGACATCACATGTGAATATCCAGCAATTAAAAATTGCTGCTAAAACGAAAATGTCACAAATGGATGAACATAATAAATTTATTTCTCACATTTTACAGGAAAGGAAGGAAGAAGTGCTGCAAATTTAAAATCCTTATTTCAAGAGCTGGACTAAAGATACAGCTCCTATCAATCCTGCTTCATTAATAAAACAAACACAACTCATTCCCAAATGGGATTATAAACACAGGCATGTTGTTTGGTGCCATTCAGTGGAGACCCTATGAATGACAGATCTGAGCCTTCTCCTATCCTGTGCCATTTTCTTTATCTCTGACACACTTGAACCCATTGCTGGACTCACCATGTCAATCTATCTTGCAAAAGGTCTTCCCCTCTTTTACTGAGCCTCCACCTTTCAAAGCAGGATGTCATTTTCCAAGGAATAGCCTTTTCTAGGAATATGCCAAATGTATGAGATGAAGCTTTGTCATCTTTGCCTCCGAGGACTGTTCTGGCTGCACTTACTCCAGGACATATCTATTGTTCCTTTGGCCATCCATGGGATAGTCACTACTCTTCTCTAATACCACAGCTCAAAGGCATCAATTCTCCTCTGTCATCTTTACTCACTGTCCAGCTGCATAGAAAGTGACTGAAAAGCCCATTGCCTGGATCAGGAGCACCTTCATCTTCAAACTGACATCACTGCTACTCAGTAATTTGAAGATGTCCCTGCCTGAAGACTTGCCCAGTGTAATATGTCTCCTGATCTCCTGATTGCTGGTACCAAGAGACTGTGGATTCAAGTAAGATGATATTGTTTACAAACTTGAGTCTTTTCTACATCTATCTTGATGTTGATAATTGGTCCAGTGGTGAGAAATGTCTTCTTGATGTTGAAATGTTTCAATCTATATTGAAAACTGTACTCCTTGATCTTACGCAGCAAGTGTTTCAAGTCTTTCTCATTTTAAGCAAGGTTATGTCACCGGCAAAAAACAGGGTGTTGATCAGTCTTCCTCCTATTCTGAAGCCACATTCTTTTTCATGCAGCGCAGCTTCTCAAATTATTTGTTCAGCAAAAAGATTGAATAAATATGGAGAAAGGACACACACTGACACACACTTTTCTTGATCTCAGACCATGTGGTGTTCCCTTGCTCTGTTTGGACAACACCTTCTTGATTTAGGCAGGAACATTTTCTCTTTCCCTTCTTCAATTGTTGCTGTTCTTGTTAGATGCTGCCAAATTGATTAAAACTCACAGCAACCCTATGAACAATAGATCTGAACTCTGCCCTGTCCTGGCCATCCTTTTATCTCTGACATAATTGAGCCCACTGCTGGACTCACTGTGTCAATCTATCTCGTTGGGAGTCTTTCTCTCTTTCAATAACCCTCCACCTTTCCAAGCATGATGTTCCTTTCCAAGGAATATCCTCTTCCAGGGACACTCCCAAAGTATGAGAGATGCAACTTTGCCTCCTTACCTCTAAGAAACACTCTAGTTTTACTTTCTCCAAGGCCTGTCTGTTCTTTTGGGAGACTGTAGGAAGTGTAGCACTCTTCTCCAACACCAGAACAGAAAGACATCAATAATTCTTTTGTCATTCTTTATCCTGCTCTCAGATGCTTAGTAGGTAACTGGAAAGACTATGGCTTGAATCAGGCACACTTTATTTTGGAGAGGTATCTGACAGCAGATTTTCCTAATGATATACATCTCCAGATCTCTTAACTACTGATACCAAGAAAGTACTTGTTGCTTGGATTCAAGCAAGATTAAATCATTGACAAATTCAATCTTCTCTCCATCTATCCAATTCTTGTGTTCCAGTCACCAATAATTATTCAGGCATCTTGATTCTATGTTTGCTTAATTTCAGACTGCAACAGCTGGTAAAAACCCTCAATATTTTCCTCTCTGGCTTTACTTTTTGGTGCATTTATTTTCATAATAGTCATATTAACAGGTCTTCCTAGTGTGCATATCGAATCACTCACAGTATTATACTCCAGGACAGATCTTGAAATTGTCTTTTTTTTAAAAAATTGTGTCCATCACAACAAGATAAAGGAAAATAATCCAATTTAAAAATGGGCACATGATATCAACAGACACTTCACCAAAGAGGAAATTCAGATGGCCAACAAGCACATAAAGAAATGTTCAAAATCCCTAGCTCTAAGGAGATACAAATCAAAACAACTATGAGATATCATCTCACCCCTGTCAGAATAGCAAAATTTAACAGAACATCAAGCAACTTATGCTGGCAAGGTTGTGGAGAAACTGGAACCCTTATTCACTGTTGGTGGAAGTGTAAAATAGTGCAACCACTGTGGAAGGCGGTGTGGCACATTCTCAAAAAGTTGCAAATAGAGATACAATTTGACCCAGCAATTCCACTACTGGGAATATATCCCAGAGACCATAACTGACATCCAAACACATATGCACACCCATATTTATCGCCACTTTGTTCACAATAGTAAGGAGTTAGAAACAACCTAAGTGCCCATCAACAAACAAATGGATAGAGAAGCTGTGGTATGTTCACACAATGGAATACTATGCTGCATTGAAAAACAAGGAACTCATGCAATATTATTCAAAATGGGTGACCCTGGAGGACATTATGCTGAGTGAAGTATCTCAGTCACAAAAGGACAAATACTGCATGGTGTCACTGTTGTAAAACAGGATTGACATCGGGGTTGGGGGAAGACTGAAAAAGTTGGGTTCAATAATGTATACTGCATTGAAACAGATGAGGGAGAAAACTATTTAAAAGGGATATGTGATTAGGTATTTTTGTCATGACGGGAGTCCAGAGCAAAGGTTGCAGAGTGGAGTGGACCTGGACGGAGGGATTGTAAAACAATGAAAGAATTTTTCTTTTACTTTTCCAAAAGGGTAGTTTACTGGGGCGGGGGTGGGGGGACGGTTTGGGAGGGGAGAAAAGTGCAACAATGAATGAATGGAAATCGAAAGTCTGTAAATTTTCATTGAAATTAATAACAAATTTTTTAAAAAAAGAGGAGAGAGAAAAAAATGGTGTTGAAGACAACACCATTCTTCCCTTAGTTTTTCATACCCAGCATAGTACATCATGTGATTATCTGATTCAAAGTGGTCCGTGCTTGTCCATCTCAGTTCACTGATGCCTAGAACGTCAACTTCCATTTTTCCTACATTCATATTTCATACATTCCATGTTCTAATTATTAAGGGCTGTTTGGAGCTGATTCTACTCAACTTTTTAGCAACTTCTTACCTGGGCTCTACATCTAATACTATAACGACCCAAGTGCCTCTGTTCACAGGGTTTTCAAAGGCCCCTTATTAAATATAGGGTCAATCCTTTTTCCTAGTCTGCCTTAATCCAGTAGCCCTGCTGCAACCTCTCCACCCTTTTGGTTCCTGAGACACTGGTGACACAGAGCATCAGAGCACAGCACAATCTATACCAGTACAGCAGACTGACAGATAAGTTCTGTACTAATGTTGTTGTTGTTGTTGTTGTTGTTGTTGTTGTTGTTGTTATATGCCGTCGAGTCGCCTGCGACTCATAGCGACCCTATGTACAACAGCCCTAAACTCCGCTCTGTCCT